ACCCCAAAGGGGGCCACTGGCTGTGCAGCCAAGCCTGCCAATGTGCTGAGAGAGGGCCTGGGAGGAAGGGCCAAAGCAGCAATTGGCAGGCTGGGGGAGAGCGGTCCTGCAACATTGGTGATGGGAGGATGGCTCTAGGAAGAGACAGCAGAGCTGACCCACACTGGGGTGTGGACCACCATGGTTGTGCTGCTGGGGGGATGGGGAAAGGTCTGGATGAGGCTCACTGATGCCAGAGGCCTGGCCCCTCCCAGTGGAGAGGGGACCCCCCCATGGGCTTGTGGGGCCATGGCACAGCTGTTCCCAATGGCCTGGGTCTCACCCATCAGAAGACCGTTGATGCGCTGCAGAGCTTTCTTCTTCTCCCTGTCTAGGTCCTCAGCAGTCATTGCACAGGCCAGTAACAGAGGTGGTGGCAGCTTCAGAGGTTCCCCTCGGCGGCATTGCAGGAGAGGAAACTTGCGTTTCCGTGGCCTACTGGTGTCTCCCGTGGGTGAGGACTTCTTCTTGGGAAATGGGTGTCCCGCCCTGCCTTCTGCCACCTTCTCACCCTGGGCCTTCTTTGGGGGAATCCCTGGGGATAAAGAACATCCCAGGGGCGGCTCCCCATTGGATGGGTCTGGAGCCCTCCTCTTCAGGGCTCAGAGACCTTGCGTGGAGCTGTAGGAGCTGCTGATGGGGTTTCTTTGGGGGCAGGAGCTCATGCAGATGGCCCGGGAGCTCTCAGCTCTGTCTTGGGAGCTCTGGGTGCAGAGGTTACTCCACAGAGGCCCAGGCCTGGGCACAAAGGCAGCCACACAGCTATGGGTCCCCAGGGGCCTAAAAGCAGATGCTCTTCCAGTGACCTGAGGGCGCCCCCTCTGATGCTCTCTGTCTACAGGATGCTCTGCTTTCTCAGCCACCACTTGGCCACTGTCTCCAGGGGCTGTGATCACAGTCCTCCCTGGGCAGGGTTCTTGGGCTGCTGGAAGCTGGCAAGGAGCCACTTCCTGCCCCTGCACCCTACAAGGCGGCTGACTGAGTCTG